GAGATACATAGAGAAGGGGCATAGAGAGTTTTGTCTTATTAGTTCACGTTTTTAGGCATTCTAGTGACTTTCTTGACTTACAGCACACTTTCTATCAACATCCCCTGCTTTTAGCCATGATTAGCTTTCTATTTGCATCTCTAACATGCCCATTCAGGTAGATGTCTTTGCATACAGTAGTTACGGTGTTACTGCTTCCTCAACAGATTAGACACAGGACTCTTAATCACTGTATCAGGAAACACTCACACAAGCCAAACATGTAGGTATCAATAACATGTACCTGAAAAGGTCTCTAGATACACATTTGGGCATGATTGCCTGTAACAAATTATAAATGGCTGAAAACAGAACTCTCCTAGAAATTTCTATGTCCTCTTCCTTGAGGGCCTGAGGAAACCATTTCTTTACAGGAAGTGTCTCTTCTTGGTTCAGTATGGATCATTCTTTGAGGTTAGGGGACATTTTTGTGTACAACTATGGTGGGTTCAGTGTCATTGGGTTGCGTTCATGTGGTTCAGGGCACAAAAACAAACTATTTCAAGACACAAGGAAGAATGAAGATAAACTGGGGCCAGCAGGATGACTTAGTGGGTAGAGGCTCTTGCTGCCAAGACTCAATGACCTGAATTTGATCCTTAGGAGACACACGATGGAAAGAGACAACTTACTCCTGAAAGCAGTCCTCTGACTTCCACATATGGGCTGTGATGCCCCTGACAGGAATAGATTAATAAATGGAATTGGAGTAGTTTTTTTTTTTAAAAAAAAGGAATTTAGATGAACTAGAAAAAAGAGAGCATGCTTATTCAGAGCACTGGCTGGCCAGACTGCAATACATACTCACATTCTGTCATGATGACCATAAACTTTGGACGGGTAAAATAAGAATCTTGGACAGCAGTCGTTGTTAGTATGCTTGCTAGTAGAGAGAAAGGAGCCTCACAACCAAAACAGCGAAAGAGAAAAGGTATCAGCTGAGCACTCCCCCTTGTGCAAATATTGCAATAAAAGGGCAAAGCCTGTTTAAAGCCCAGTCTCCACCAAGCTGTAGCTCAAGTCATAAGGACAAAGGACTCAACCTGCTCAAAGGCAAAAAAGGAAAGCACAAATTGTGAGAGTCAGAATCCATTGCATGGAGTCATTACACTAAACGAAAGACGGGTGTGGAACAGCCGAGCATGGGAAGCTGCAAGGGGCACTCGGGGTGTCTTACTTCCCTGTTTTCTTCATTTAAGAAGGAGAAGGGAAATTATTGTTTATCTGTGCTTCAAACTCATGGCGTAAGTGACTCTCAGAGTTTCTTTTCCTCTTCTTCTTGCTCTTTTTCTGTTACCTAGACGACAAAGCATCTGTTTAGACAGACATTCATTTGTCTCTTTGATAGTATGTGTACATCATGGGAATCTGGAAGCCTTCGTTATATTTTAAAAAAATGACCATTAGAGTTAGCCTTGAATCTTTATGGAGTCATTTAATCAGACAAGGCCTTCACCTTCCATGTCACCCTTGATGTACGCAGAGAAAGTCTCATTTGAAGACATTGGTGCAAAAGGGGTGGTAGATAGGACTGGGAAATAGACTCAGTCAATAAATTGTTTTCCATAGAAACGTGAGTGCCTGGGTTTGAGTCCTCAGCACCCCCATATTTTTTTAAAGGAAAAGCTGAGACTGGCATATGCCTACATCCTTAGCAGTGGGTAAGGGCAGAGTCAGGAGGATCCACGATATTTGTTGATCAGCTCTGCTAGCCAGGCGGTAGCTCCAGATTCAGTGAGAAACTGATTTAAAACTAAGGTCAAAGGGCGTGGTGGGAGCCAGCGAGGCCCTGCCCTGCCTCGCCAGGTGGATGCTGCAGAAGCCAGCCAGGGCGCCACTAGAAGAACAAATAGGTGATGGAGAGGTGGGAAAAATAGGAAAGCAGAGCGGTGCGTGTGCTGTGGAGAGAGGCAGAACTGGAGACACGGCTGCGGGGACAGGTGTGAGAAAGGGCTGAGGTCAACAGTGGAACAAGTCTTTAGTGTGCAGCAGCCTGGAGCGTACATAGAAGCAGACTCAGCCCCCAAACTCGCTGCCTGGCCTTTGGATCCCCCAGTCTCTGGACAATGACAGAGGTCTGAGATGAGGAACAGTTCACTTTCTGGATCGAACCTCCTCGAAAGACCACCATGGCCTGCCAAGCCACCAGAGACCATGTTGATGCACGTAATCCATGCTGCTGACCCAGGCCGTGATGAATCTTGAGATCCATGTGGACTTAACGTCATCTATGCTGCTGTTTGAGTCCTCAGGGATTTGCTCCCTGGGGGGGCCATGTTGACATGAGTGGCCCGTGTAGCCACCTGAGGCCATGTTAAGACCCTGTGGTCCGTGCTGCTGCTGAGGGCCATGAGTGAGTTGGTGGTCCTCATACAGCTATGCGCCATGTTGATGTCTGTGACCCATGTTGCCACCCAAGGCCAAGCGGATATCCTTGGTCGGTGCTGTTGCCTGAATCCATGACGATATGTGTGGGCTGCACTGCTGCCAGGGGCCAGGTTGAAGTGAGGGGCCCATGTAGCTGCCTAGGGCTATGGTGATGTCCAGGTCTGGGCTCCCTTCAAAGGCCTTGTCTGGGTCTGTAGCCCTACTGCAGCTGGGGGCTGTATTGGTGCTCTGTGCTGTCACCAGAAACCGTGTGGAAGCACATGATCCGTGCTCCCTCTGACTGTGAAGAACAAGGAAGCTACTACTTTTGCACTGATATCGATGACAGCAGAAGCAGAGTTGAGAGGGAGGGACATGGAAGGCCTCTGTGACAACCCCTACCCCCTACCCCAATAGTTCCTCCCCCCCTCCCCCCAAAAAAAGCTAACAGCCTAGACAGACAGAAAGCCATCAAAGAGAACTCTTACAAAGTGTGATAGGGATGCTGAAATGTACCTCTCTGTAATTGATGGCTTCTGGCAGTGGTGTTAGAGGGGAAGGACGCAGTTCTGTTTAAGGGGCTGGCCACTGAGAATTTGACCATGCTCCAGTGAGTATATAGATAGCACAAACTGGACTTGTTTTTTTTTTTTATTCTTATTTTTATTGTTACCTTTGGGGGGGCGTCGCAAGGGTGGGGAAGCAGACATGGAAGGACTGGGAAGTGAGTGTGATGGGGTTCATGATATGAAATTGCCATAGAATCAATGAAAATGTTATATTGGAAAATAAAATAAAACTAAGGTGAAGAATGGGATGGTAGAGGAGGATCCTTGGCTTTGACCTCTGGCCTCCACACAAATGTATGCACATGTGCGCCCACATACAAATGCAAAAACATGTATGCACACACAAAAAATAGAGAAACCATTTTTTCTAAAAAAAAAAAAAAAAAAAAAAGGCATATTGAAATCACAGTTCATATCATTTAATGCCCTCCCAGGGATAATTGCTAAATGAGAAAGCAAATGTTCCTCTTCTATGCTTCTGGAAATGCAAGCCAAGTGGGCAGGACCCTTCACCAATCCTGTCTCACCAGGTCATTTCTCAAGACACTTCACTCTCAGAGGCTAAGAAAAAAATGGTGCTTGCCAAAGAAACATCACAGCAAGTAACTTGATCTCTTTTTCTATCAGTTGCAAAAATATCCTTTATGGATTACACACTGATGTTCCTTGATGTTATATAAGGAGCTGGGGCTTGATAAATGGTATTATACATTCATTTCTAAAAATAATGCCTGGAAAAGCTGTCAGATTTATCAAAAATAGGAAAGACTTTTACATTCTGGACTGAGTCATGGAAGAAAATTGCTTCGTGTTGGTAAGGAATAGAAATAACAATTATCCTACATCTCTTGCTCCAAGCATGGCATTCTGTCTGACATCTGTGTATTTCAATCATTGATTGATCACTGGTCTCCCATCTGTACTGGGAAGTTCCAGGAAGGTGGGGATTTTTATAAAACTGTGGGCACACATCTCATAAAATATATTCAGATGTCACATGAAATTGTAGCTTTCAGATGAGCAAGATGTGGGGCTAATGACCACGATGTTGAAGGGATCTTGTTGGGCCCACAAAGTTTCTTTCTATAACCTAATTGCGATAGTAAGGCCCTAGGGGAGACTGAACTCTAGTTCTTCTAGTTTGGTATTGTATATGCAGCATGTTCTAAATCCTCTCACAAGACTGTGGGGATAACTTGAGGAGCACTTACAAAATCAACTCTAAATTTATTGTCACCCCAAAATATAATTTTTAAAAAAGTGTTTAGTAAGACTAAATGCAAGAAGATTCTCAAATGTATCAAATTTTTGCAAGTTTCTTCTCTAAAATTTTCCAGGAATTTCAAGATTCCTAAGATGCAATTTCACCATTAATCCACATGGGATAAAGTAACGGCCAGCGAGCATTGCACACTCAAGTAGAAAGTGGGTGGAAAATGGGACACTGAGGCATCCGAGAAAAACACAAAGAAAAAAATGTATTCCTAAAATCTCATGACTTCATCGCCAATGGGAACAATAGAGCAAGAAATCCTGAATCTGATTATCTAAGTGCGTCTTCTATACTCCCCTGTCTTACCAGGTCAGCTCAGACAAGTCTGCAGAGTATTTCTTTTTTGTTTGTTTATTTCATTTCTCTTCCAAAACCTTCCTCCCCTTTGAGTGTTCCTACCTTTGTTTTTATTACCCTAGTGGACAATTAATTATTTAGAGTATAGCATGCTATCGGGTAAGTTTTCCCTTTAATGTTAGTTTTAGAAAATCCTATCTTCTCTCTCAGAACTCTGCTCAACAAAACCCAGAAAAATATGTTTACCATAAAATCATTTTACAAAGCCACAGCCCAGATAAAAGGAAACACTAGTTTTATTTGTGATCATTGGCCCCAGTGAAGATTTGCAGAAAGAAAACAAAAAGAACATGAAATTGTCAATATCATTTTACGGGTCTGGGCAGTGAAGTTTGGGATTTAATTGTGGGTGATGCTGACGGAATCTTCAGAGCTGTTCAGTGAAGGCAGTGTTTCCGCACCGCATCTAACACAGGAAGGAGACAGAACGTGTTAACTTTCCACACTTCTTCACATCTTTCTCTGTGCTGCACGCCTCTCTGACTGACACCCAGCAGCAATTTCAGGTAATTTGCCCTCTCTTAGGTACTGAATTACTTGGTCCTACTTTAAGAACAGACAGAGAAGAAAATGGGCGGGCGCCGGTGTCTCTAGGTAGCCATTTATATTTCTTGAGCGCCGAGCATCCTCTAACTCTTCCTGATGTTGCTGACTCTGAAAAGCAAAAGCAATTGTATTCTATGCCTCAATCATCCCTTTCTTTTTCCAGATGTAATTCTGAATCCTTTAAGCTGTATCATCGGCAGTTGCTTTTGTCCTTTGCTGGGTTGATGATCATACATCTTTGCTAATTTAAATACAGGCATTTACATTTTGCTGTTGATCAGTAAAACCTTGTTATTCCTTAGAAAAGAAAAGTCACTGATTCAACATCACATATGGAGTTATTGTTTTTTTACCAAGCTTTTGCTCCAACTAACCTAGTGAGTCAGGCTAAAAATCAAAATAGGGTTGTACTAACATTCCACATCACAAAGTTGAAAATATGCTAGTGGACGCTCCCCTCCTCCCAAAGAAAAAACCAGAATTAAAATCATAATAGCCTAATTCCCCAAACAGGTAAACTGGCAGGATAAGAAATTTCCTTTGACCTAATCCGTAGCAGAAAAGGTTAACTTGAAGAAACTGGTGTGGTCAGTTAACTTCCTGTTCTGTTTCCTGTGCTCATCTTTGAAAGAAAGTAACTTTGTAATAACAAACTACTCTAGGGGTGTGTGTGTGTGTGTGTGTGTGTGTGTGTGTGTGTGTGTGTGTGTGTACGTGCATGTGAGCTTTCTAATGCCTTTTTCTGTCTATAACATCACCTCCTCTGACTGACCCTTTGAACATTTACTATATTATATGGAAAGAAACATTGCCCAGTTCTAGAATCACAAAATGAGCCAATTAAGTTCATTAATTCATTGTAAATTTAGCCTTTGAAAGTCCATGTATATACACATAATTATCACCATCTGTTTATCCACCCTTCAGAGAGGGTATTTAGTGCATTTGTAATACAGCTAGACTCTTTATTTCTCCCAGAAAAATGTCTAGAAACAATCACTAATCTTATCAAAGTGTCAATGTGCAAAATCAGCTTTCAAAACTAAGTTGTCTTTCTATACACCACCAACAAATACACCAAGGAAAATATTATTGGCATATTCCCATTTGCAATAGCACCAAAGACAATAAAATATCTTGGGATAAACCTAATCAAGGAGGTGAAAGACCTCAATGAAAGCTTCAACTCTCTGAAGAAAGATTGAAAAGGCGCTAGAAAATGGAAAGACATCTCATACTCATTGTTCAGTAGAATTAATATTATGAAAATGACCATCCCACCAAAAACAATTTATAAATTCAGTGTAATCCCATTCAAAATGCATTATTCTTCATAGGAATAGCAAAAAACAAATCTGAAATGTATGGAACAAGAAAAAAACTGGCTTTTTTTGCTTAGCCTAATGATTCCCCAATTTCACCCATTTTCCTGTAATATTCAGTATGATATGTTGTACGGAGAATTGCTTCACTGGAGAGATTTAAACAAATGTCTACCACCCCCTTATATGGCACCAATAAGAAACCAAAGTGTTCCCACTGAAGTCCAAACTGGGGAACCAGTGAGTTTACTGGGCTTACTCATAGAGCAAGGATATGGGTTACTTGTAGGTGTCTGGATGATCCCAAAGCAGCCGCCCCACCACAAAGTCTCATTCTAGCATGATGACCATTTCCCCATAGCTGTATAGATGGAGTCTTCCCACCCACTACCACATCCCACCCTATCCCTGTTGGCTTTACCACCCTCCAAATTCTCCAACACCTGCCAAGACCATGAGACCATGAACAAAGTGGGCAGAATTACATACGAATGTCCAAGATACACAGGAAGGAACTGGTAGAACCTTAGAAGGGTGGGGTCCAATGACCATCTCTACACCTCATTCTATGAAGGGATGTCAACAGTCAACAAACCTGACCTCTGGGGGTTTCTTGAAAGTAGTCACTGTGTTCTAATGAAGAAAATGGCCATTATGCTATAGGGATAGTATTCTATAGCATATGTACATGTATGTCATATTTTAGATATCCAATCATCTGCAGACATGGTCCTAGGCTGATTGCATATTGTAGCTACTTCAGAATGGAGTGAGTGATAAATACAACAGGCAGGTATCACTCTTGTTTGCATACTTTGCATCCCTCAAAGCAATACACAGGCATGATATACCTGGGCCTATGGCAGTTCTACTCTTAGTTTTTGCAGCCTCCTCCGTACTGAGTTTCATACTAACTGAACTAATTTATGTCCCACTGAAAGTGTAAAGGATTTATTTTTCATATCCTCATATATTATACATATATATATATATATATCCATTCTAAGGTGTGATTGGGTTACAATGTGGTCTAAAAATATTGAACTTTTTTTCAAATATTAATAGACTGTACGTGGGTAAGTTTCCATTCAGAATATTGTGCCAATTTTTTTATTGCTATGATTGTTTGTTCTTTTCATGTTCCATTTGTTAAAGTCTTTGTGCAGGCTGTATACCAATGCTCTGTCAGATAAAGAGCTGGCAAAATTTTCTCCCACTCTTTGGGTATTTACTGTTATTTTTTGATAATCTTCCTTCTTCTGAGATACATTGTTCTTACATTATCAGGGCTCCTCCAGTTTTCTCTCATTAATGTGGGTATGACAAACCCATTCCATTTCAAATTCTCCATGTTCTATATTCTTTAAAGTGAGTTACTGATCAGCAAATGTGATTAGCGTTTTTATTTATCTTGTTAGTGTGCATGAACTTCTTCTATTAAAGTGGTTATTGGTACAGTTGTTTTCCATGCCTGTTACTACTTGCTGAGCATCTTTGTTCTCTTCTCCCCTCTTTCTGTCTTGTCTGGTAGTAGACATTGGGGTTTCGTTTTATCACCTCACTTAATATGTTATATTTCATTTTTAAAAATTATAATATAATTACATAATTTCCTCCATTCCCTTTCATCCCTCCAAACCTTTCTATATACCCTTTCCTGCTCTCTTTCAAATTCATGGCCTCTTTTTCTTTAATTGTTGATATGTATATATATATCAACACCTCCTTATATGGCACCAACAAGAAACCAAAGTGTAATCCCACTGAAGTCCAACCTGGGGAACCAGTGAGTTTACTGGGCTTACTCATAGAGCAAGGATATGGGTTACTTATAGGTGTTTGGATGATCCCAAACAAGCCACACCACCACAAAGTCTCATTTAGCATGATGACCTAGATATATATATATCATGTACAACCTGCTCAGCCCATTTATTGTTATTTGGACGTACATGTTCTCAGAGTTGACCTCTTTATATAAGAAAGTCTACATTTCTGCCTGAAGATCTTTTCTCCATAGAAATATAGTTGTGTTGGGTTCTATAAACATCTCAGATATCTCATTGCTCATATCTTATTTTCACTGTTTATGTTGAGATATTTGGTATAACCCTCATCTTTCTTTCTCTATACACAGGATTTCTTTTTCTTTGTCTCCTTTCAATTTTTTCTCTTTTTTCTTCATCTTTGGCTTTCTGTAATTTAAAAATAGCACATCTAAGGTTTCGTCTTTTTATTTGTTTGTTTGGTTGGTTGTTTATACCATTTGAGACACTCCAACCACCCTGGGTCTATGGGTTTGTGAGTGTCACTAATTTTGAAAACTTGGGGGTATTTTGAGATTTTAAATTTTGTGCTCCATCATCTTCTTCTTTTTCTGGTATTCAATTTGCATGCATGTTATATCTGTTGATATTATCCTCACAGTTCTTAGACATTGTGTTTTGTTTTTCCATTTCATTGCTGGAATTGTTGATTCAACCTATCTTCGGGTTTACTCATGTTGTTTTTGAGTATATTTACATTGATATGAACTGCAAAAAGTGATATTTCACCTCTGTAACTATGCACTATACTGATAACATTTCTTTTTCATCTTCCTTTAGCATTTGTCTTGCAGCTAGAACATTTCATCTGTTCCTTCACCTCTCTTACTGTCCAAAGAATATATCAAAGCAGGTATTCTTTTACACTCCTTCTGAAGAATACAATCACCTTGTTGGGCAAGTGGCTTGGCAGCCTTCTGACATTTACGTTGTATAGCAGAGAAAAAACTATAACTGTTTTACACTCCTGAAATATAAACTTTGAGGGATATTTCTTATAATGTTGGATGATTTATTATTTTAGTCACCACACTACTGTTTGGCAATTCAAAAAGAAACAGCAATATACAAACTATCTTTGATCTAAGCAACTTGTTCTAGTCAAATGCCCTTTACAAGAAAATTTTCTCAGTTTATTTACATCATTAAAAGAATTTATTTATACCCCTTGAAAAATACATCTACTGGTAGGTAAGACAAACTTATTTAAACTTGTTTCTCAGTCGTGAAGAGAAGGTAAGGAGTTAAAAGTACTTATGGCTCTTCTAGAGGCAGTTAGATTCCCAGCACCCATGGCAGGCAGCTCAAAACTTCCTATCTCTCCAGCTCCAGAAGATCCAACACCCTCTTCTGGCCTCCTTGGGCAACCGCAAGTACAAATACTCACACAGAGACACATGTAAATACATGATTTTGAAATAATAAAAATAAATAAATCCTTTTTAAAAAAAACTTGTATTAAAAAATCATAAGAGGTGAAAAGACAACTGACAGAGTGAGAGAAGATATTTGCAAATCCAATATCTGATGGGTAAGTTTGTAAAAGTTAATTCCGGCCAACTTAATAGGATACAATGTTTCCCAGTACCCGGCAAGGCACCATTTCTGGGACTTTCTTTGAGTGTTTCCAGAGGGAGGCATCTGAACCAGCAGAGAATGTAGTGAATCAGCTTCAGTGCGCTATCCAGTCACACATGCCCATGGAGAACAAAAAGGTAGAAGACACACAAATATTCATACTCTCTAAATGTTCTCTCTCCCTCCCTCCCTCCCTTCCTCCTTTCTTCCTTCCCTCCCTTCTTCCCTCTCTCCCTCTTTCCCTCTCTCCCTCTTTCCCTCTCTCCCTCCTTCTCCCTCTATCCCTCCCTCCCTCTCCCTCTCTCTTTCTCTCTTTTTTTCTCTCTCTCTGCCCCTAACTTGTGGATATGATGTAAAGCTCCCAGCTACTTGACCTCCTACCCCAGTGCCAGGCCTGCATGCCTCCATGCTCCCCATTGAGATGGTTGTGGACTCACTTCCTGAAACTCCTGAAACTGTAAGCAAGTCCCCAATTAAATGGATTTCTTTTATAGGTTGCCTTGGTCATTACGTCTCTTCACAGCAACAGAAGAGTTACTAAAACCTGCCCAGTGGTCTTCCAGAGTCTTGGGTCTTTAGCTTCAGAATGAAGATCATATTTCAGCTGTTTCCCTGGTTCTCTATCTTCTATGAAATTTATTGTGGTTATTCCTTTAAAATGTGATGACCGATCTGGGCGGTGGTGGTGCATGCCTTTAATCCCAGCACTTGGGAGGCAGAGGCAGGAGAATCTCTGTGAGTTTGAGGCCAGCCTGGGCTACATAGTGAGTTCCAGGAAAGGCGCAAAGCTACACAGAGAAACCTTGTCTCAAAAAACCAAAAAATAAAAATAAAATAAACAAAATGTGAGGGCCAATTCCCATCATTAATTTTTGTTCATCTATTTATTTTCTATTCACATATCTCTATTAGTAAGACTTTAGCTAATGTAATATACATGGAAATCAACTTATAAAAAGGAATTTGGGCTCACAATTTTGGTCAATGACCAATTATTAGCCCCCTTGCTTTGGTACTTTGGTGGCCCAGATTCCATAGTGGAAGTTGATAGAAGAGAAAATGTGTTTATCTTATGGTAACTAGACAGTGAAAGAGAAAGACACCTGTGTCTCACAATCCCCTTCAAAGGAATGTCCCCAGTGACCTTAAATTGGGCCCTATATTATAAAGGTCTCTACCATCCAATAGGGTAAACTGAAAACCAGTTAACAAACTTTAACAAATTGCACTTGACAATTTAACAAATTTCAAATTGCATTTGAAAGGCATTCCAGAACTAAGCTGTAGCACTGTGTCTTTATCCATATCCATCTGTCTGTCTACCTATCTTCTTCTATCTCCTATTTCCTATTGGTTCTTTCTCTTTGATAAACTCTGAGACATATTTACATCCAGATTATATTTTAAAAAATACAATTTAGCAGTAGAAAAGCAAATAATCAAATTGAACACAGGCAGGGAATTTTTATGGACATTTTCCAGAGGGGAAAATAAAATCCATAACAAGACACCACTTTCAGACCCACCAGTGTTGTTATAATTTAAAATAGGGTTAATAAGAAGTTAAAACAGATGAAAAAGTTGGAATTATCATATATTGTGAATGGGGATATCAAAGGGTGTGACCATTTTGGAAAACAACTTGATAATTTTAAGTGTTAAGTATCAGTCTAACATATTATGTAGCAATTTTACTTTTAGGTTTATACTGAAAAGAAATGGACACATATTGATTGACATAACTTGCACAATGTTCACCCTAGCATTCCTCAGACTGAAAGTGGAAACGTCCCGTGTTCTTTCAAATGATTAATGAGTAAATAAACCTTCACTCAATTGAATATTATTTGGTAACACAGAGATGTGAAATACTGATATATGAATATCTTAATATATCTTAAGGGTTGTGGCTGGAGAGATGTCTCAGTAGTTAAGAGCACTTGCTGTTCTTCCTAAGTTCAGAGTCCAGCACCCACATCAGGAGTCTCACAACTGCCTATATAGCTCTGGGAATACAATGCCCTCTTCTGGCCTTGATGGGCACACCCACACTTGCAGCAAATACACACAGAGACACACACATTAATAATGAGTGAGTAAATCTACGAAATATCTTAAGTTAAAGTGTGTTATCATGAAAACGACAATACTTTATGATTTCATTTACATTAAGTGTCTGGAACAATTATGCCCAGAGGAAAAAGAGCAGCTGTGTTCCAGCTGTAACATTATTGGGAAGTGACAATAGTTTTGGCTAACGGATGTAGGGTTTCCTTTTTTAATGACAAAAGTGTTCTGAAAGCCACCGTGATGATGAATGAACAACTCTGTGAAAATAGTAATGGCCTAGTATGCTAATAACTATTTACTTTAAATTTGTGAATTGTATATGATTTATATCTCAATAAGCTGCTGTTATAAACCAGGAATCTAGGGGTAGGGTTCTGGGAACTTTCCTGGTTGCTGAACTTTTTAAAAAATGAATTTTCCCTACCAACTCCCCGGATCCCTTGAAACCTGAATTCTGTATAATACATCTTGAACAGAGTGACATGCTTGTTCTGTCAGTGTTAGAACTCTGTGGTTTCTTCTACACAACTTCTCCTCATGGTTTTGTATATGATAGATTCAGCAATGATTTTCCTCCTCATTTCTCCCAGGGCTCCCAGCCAGTCGTCTTTCTCAACCATACTTTCCTCCTCTCAATACATCCAGACGCCTTGACTCCCCTCTCTCTTGCTGTTCATGTGCAGGCAAGCACCTTGAGATACTGCCTCCGTATAACTGACTTTCTGAAATGCACAGTAGAATTTCCAAATCATCACCTTGCTCCTCAGACAGAACGTGCCTCAGACCTAATTCCTCCCTTGCAGACTTTTTCCTCTTACTGTGCTCAGCCACCTGTTCCAGTCACTGAAGCTGGAACTGTTTACTAAACCGTCGTATGCTTCCACCATCCATGTCTCCTCAGGGTCTTCTGAATCCCTCCCTCTTCTTCAGTCCCACCTTGTCTACCTAGCGGACTTCTTCCATCATTTCCTAACTGAAACAATAGAATAAAAATCCCAATGTAGTATGTTTGTGCCAAAGATATAAAGGCTATTTCCCCAGAGGAAAAAATGTGATGGTAAAAGTAGGAATCTGAATTTTAAAAGCCCTAAGGGGAAGGATAAAATTAGGAGAAAGAACTATGAATCCCCTTTTTGAGGAAATGAATTTTTAAAGGTGCTTTTCAGTTCAAATATTGGCAGGTTCTGTGCTTTATTTGCGTGAGTATGTCATTCTCATACACACCTATTCCTAGTCCGAATCTTCTCTATTTCGTGGTGTGAATGCTTGGCTTCAAAATAGCCTATCTCCTCTTCACTATCGTAATTAACTTTGTCATATTAGAATAATGGTTTCCTAAAGGAATTCTCCTGGCTGCAGTTTCTTACCTGTCATTTAAAGTTTGAAAATCTCATTCTTAAAAGCAGAGACAGTGTTTTTCACCTATTAGATTAACAGAACTGAAAAAAAAAAGACAGACAGTATGCAGGTGCTGGGGGAAACATCTATCTACTGATGGGGGCAATTGTAACGGAGCTGATTTTTTGCAGACCCCATAATGCTTTTCAAAATAGGCATGCCATTTGATTCTGGGATTCCACTTTAAAATTGTATACCCTACAGAACTGCTTGCACATTGAAGCAAATGTGTCCATTGTTTCATTTTTTTTTCCCTATGAGGGAAAATCGGAAAACCTACTTAAATGGGCTCAAGAGAACATTTTAGTTATGGTGCATGTATGTTCTCCTGGATGGATGGTAAATAGTTATTTTAGCATTGCTCCAAATTCCAAATATTTTCCTGAACAAATATGTAAATAAACACTTATTTTTATTTATTAAACATTTATTATTTATTTTAGTGTGTATGTACATGTGTGCATATGTGTGTGTATGCTTGTGTGTGTGTGTGTGTGTATGCGTGTGTGTGTGTGTGTGTGTGTGTGTGTGTGTGTGTGTGTGTGTACTGGCAAATGCCATAAGAGGGTGTTGGAACTGGTGTTTTAAGTAGTTGTGGGCCAAGAGACATGGATGTTGGGAACTTAACTCCTGTCATGCTGAAAGGGCAGCAAGAACTCTGAAATGCTGAGCCATCTCTCCAACCCCAACATTTATTTTATTTTTAGTCTTTTCTTTAAAAATTACAATATAATTACACCACTCCCCCCTTTCTTTTCCCTCCTCCAGCCCCTTCCATATCCCTTCCCTGCAACGCATCCATGTATCCCACTCACGCCCTTTCAAATTTGTGGGCTCATTCTTTGATTATTATTGTTACACACACACACACACACACACACACACACACACACACACACAAATATGTATATATGTATATATAAAAATATCACTATATAAATAAAATCTGCTGAGTCTGTTTAGTGTTGTTTGTGTATAGTTTTAATCTTCAAGACTGACCACTTTGTATTAGATAACCCACGAGGAGACTCATCCCTGAGAGTGACTCTCCCTCTCTCTGCAGTCTTTAGGTGCCTGTTGCCCTTAGTCTAGATGTAGGACCTTGTGAGATTTCTCCCTTCCACATTAGCACATCTACTGGTGTTGTCATTGTTCAAGTCTTGTTTAGACAGCCATATTGTTGCTGTGTCGTGGTGTAGTTTCCCTGTCCTTTCTAGAAAAGCCTGTAACAATGAAGCTTCTCTTTGCAGCAAATGGAGATCACTGTAGAAAAACCACAAATGCAGAGGTCAAATGATTATGGGTAACCTAGCCCCAGTAAATGCATCTATAATACAACTTCCACACCTAATGCTCAGGGACCATCTCAAATAGGAGGGGTCAGAAAGATTATAAGAACCAGAGGACCAGAAAGTCCAACATTTACCTTTCAAACGCTAAATATAATTTGATATATTTTTATGACTTGGTATTTTCATAAGCATTTCATAATTATATATGAAATTCCTACAGCATTCTTATAAAATACATTTGCATATTGCATATAACACTGTATCACCCATTTTCAGACCAGGATCACAAGATGCTCACGGTTCCTCAGCTCTGGCCTCACTGCTATAATTCAACATGGACACCCTTTGTTTTTCAGCTTTTCCCCAGATTTCATCACAGCAGCTGATTGAAATCTATGAAAACAGTCATACTACATTAAATGAGAAGACCACTCACTGCTCATGCTTTGACCACCAGGTAAAATCCTGTGACAGTCAGGACAGATTCCTCCGTTACTCTGATTCAGCAAAGTTAGCAATTATGATCAACATTCCGTACCGACAGAGGTCACTCAGCTGCTTCTGCACACCAGACTGCTCCAGGTAGCCTCTTGTAGAACAGTTATCTGCCTTTCCTAGGGTGTGCTTCAGTTTGAAATCCTCTGCTGTTATAGAGGAGCCATGCATGAACCAACCATGTGGCACATGCCTCACTGTTGCCCATGACCTGATGACCCCCCAGAGTGGTTGCTGTAGGCTAATGCTACTTGGGTACTCATACTAACTTCCCCGTTTATTACACGACATCTGATAAACCAAAACCTCTCTGAGCCTCTGTTTATTCACCTCTGTTTATTACAAAGAAAAGATCACAATACTCCTTATGTCTCAGAAACAACAGACCATGCCGTGTCTGTCTCAGCAGCTGGCTCATAAGAAAATCTCTCAATTCAAATCACCCTTATTTTATTGAAAACTCTTCTGGAAATGTGACTGTAGATACTTGTGTCTCTTTCCCATACACCACCACACTACAGAATCATGTAATGCTTTCTTCATCCTTACAAAGAAACTTCTAAGGCAGTGTTTCAAGTCCACGTGGAAAGCTAACCTTTAGGTAATGGCATTGAGGCGGACCTAAATTTTAGGGGTTCCATCCTCATCAATGAGATTAGTACTGCCCTTTTCTACTATGTGACAGCTGTAAGAGACCATCTCTATGGAATATCTTGATTGTCCCACCAAGTCTACTGGCATCTCAACCTTGGATTTCATGGCTTCCAGAACCTTGTGCTGTACATACATACATACAGATGTATGTATGTATATGTGTGTGTGTTTATAAATTGTCTGGTCTAAGGCATTTTGCTATAACAGCTTGGAATAAATGAGACAGGAAGTTGGTTCTCAAATGGGGAGGAATTGTAATATCTGCAGGTGGTTTTGGTTCAGGCAACAGGAGTAGAAGGGAGGGGGCTGCTGGCATCTGGTAATAAGAATCCAGGGAAGCTGCTAAGGATTTACCACTGCATAATTCCAAACAAGGAATTTTCCAGCACAGCACTGCTGGAGTAGACGATTCTGGCCTAGAGGATCGATGTCTTT